AGCCATATTAAAATATCAGACGAGAGCAATTTTTCCGAGACATAGTAATCTCATATTTAAAAAAACGAAATATACGAATGCACAAGTTCATTGATATAAAATCTTTAAAAAAGTTATATCGATTTCCGAACAGATTAACATTAGACGTATCCCGCAGGCATGTTGGGTTATGATATCAGAATCGAAAGATCATATAATTTCTATATATATATATATATATATAAAACACCAAATTAAATATCATATAAATTCTAATATCATATAAATTCTGTATTTATTTTATATCTTAAAATAAATTTCTTTTCATTCTGCGTTTAATCAAGTAAATCTTGGAAATAAAAAATTAACAAGCAAAGCTAACTTATAGTAACTTACTAATAAAAATAAATCATCTCATGGTGCATCTGTTAAACATAAATAATAGCATTCTCATATAGTAAATTAATATTACTTAAATCCTATACAGCACATAAATAATATAAGCATAATAAATATAATAAATATAGCGCACATTAGATATAATAAATAAAACTTATAATTTAAATTTTGAAAAATATAATTGTGTGTCTCTTGTAATGTTTATATTGCATTCATAAGTACATACTTATATCAATTTATGCGATATCTTTATACCGTAAGAAAATTTAACATATAATCTTTTATTTGATGTCATAATCCAATATGACTGGAAAGAAAGAGAGAGAGAGAGAGAGAGAGAGGAGAAGAGTGAAGAAAAGGAATTGAAAGGGAGAGAGGAAGATAAAAGGAGAGAGAGAAAGAGAGAGAGAGAGAGAGGGGATAAGAGAATCCTATCGCGAGCAAATGAGCAGAAGTACGCTTATAATCATTAAATGTTCCGGATGTAACAATTCACCCTATTTCTTTCTCGATTACTATTGTAGCTTTTATTTTATAACGCAGAATTAGGTTGTGAGAACTAGGATTTTTTTACACTAATTGCCATTAGTGCAGTCGATCCGATGGGTGCGCTCGTCCGATTGCTCATCTCCGCGCTTTCGTAATACTGTGAGCAGCAGTCATTAATACGTCCCTTTATGTTAGGTTGATACTCCTCATAGGAGTAAATATGGTGTAGTATAAATTTGTACATACTGAATGCTGCGTAGCAGCCCGTAAGCTTCGTTCAGATGTAACGTCGCCTTTAAAGCGACACGCCATGTAACTTCCATTCTCGTGATCCTCGTCTCAAGATCACAGATAAATTCGTGATGAATCGTCGTCGGGAGGGCAGGGGAATGGAAACAATTTCTTCCTCTAACACGTTACAAAAGCTGGTTATAAAATGCTAAAATGCTAATAATATCCAAATCATGTCAATCTCATGAGGTATTTCCCTGCACTTATGTTTATAGAACATCACTAAGAATGGACGCCTGTTTAGACGTACTTCGAAATCTCTAATCATATAAGATTCATTTTGTAACAACGATTGTAAAACGTAAATTTCAACGCTGTGGTTGTACGATTGGTGCTGACTCGTACTCCGAATTCAGTATGTGATTTTGAAGCGATATATTATTGGGAGTCATTCACTGAAAAAATATGCTAAATTTTAATAAATATTTGTTTGAATAGTACTAACTAAACATTTACCAAATGTAAACATATATTTATGTGACCCAAGAACTATTAAATTTGATTTAAGTACCATCTTTTTTATTAAGTAAATATTTATTTACTGTAAGTAAATATTTAGTTAATATTATTCACACAAATATTTATTAAAATTGGTAAATTTTTTCAATATTCCGTATAAATGGTCGGGATAGAGTCCACTTGATAATAATCCGCATAACTTTTGTATAACCGGTTGCCTCGCGTTGAGTGCGACCCTCGATCAAAGGCAGTGTGAGCCAATAGTCAATCTCAATTTAATGAGGACATTACATTTCTTCTTCAAAAATGATATACCGCGAAGAATCGCACTTTTCCATCTAAATCTGTACCAAACTACAAAATTGGGGATTGAAGATTGCGAATTGGAGAGTACACAGAAAAAAATTTACAAAATCTTAATACATATTTCATTGAATAATGTTAAGTAAACATTCATTTACGATAAATAAATGTTTACTTAATAAAGAAATAATAGTTGAATCAAATTTTGTATCAAATAAATATTGATTAAAATTTAATATTCTTTTCAGTGTAGAATTCAACTAAAGAATCAGAATAAAACGAATTAACATTAAATTCATCTAATTGATTAAATTATAATCTTCAATTCTAAGTCTTTAATCTTCAACGCGTCTGATATAAGCTTATTATAATGTCAAAATATTTGAATTTTTGTCTAGAAAAAAATATCGCGGACAAAATTACATGGACGAAAATTCAAACGTTCTGAAATTAGAATATGCATTAATAAAGAAAAAGGTGACTTTTCGCATTATAATTTTCAAAGGCGAATGTAATTTACATTCGAAGGCCGCGATACAATTCGCGAAGGTAAGACTAATATAATGTTTGTCGCACTTTCTATAACTACTCTTAATAGTAAATATGTTTCTGCTGGTCAATAATGTGATCTTGTTGGCGAGACGGTTATCAAGTCTGCTAACGATTTGTGCTGCTCTGATTGATGACGATCTCGAAATCTCTCTCGAATAGCGTTCATGCGAAATGAATCACGCAAACGAGAATACAACTTTAGAAATGTTACACGCATTTGATCTTTTATTAAGATGCCTTTCTTAATTACGCCACTTAGACATTCATGTATATTATCCATGTTTTTAAAGAACAACATAAAAATTTGTAACAAAAGCTTTATTTCTCATTTTGGCTAAGAAATCAATTTTGGAAAACTTCCCTTCGGAATCTCATTTTTTAAAAATATTCGTAGCAAAGTATATTATATATTTTTTAAATATTTTTGCTTAAGATGGCTCTTTAGTAAAGTGCTGAAAATTTGGAGTGCCTCATCAGGGTTCACACAAAATTACAAATATCTGCATAATTTGAATAAAGATTTTTAAAAAAAGGCTGGTACGATTTGTGTGAAATTAATCAAAGAAGTGCATGTTTTCGAGCCTTATCTGTCACGTGTTATACGTGAAAAGTTACATTGTCAACACTTTTTTCTCTCTTTTATTTCATTATTGGCATACCTTAGAATTTTACACACGTTAAATTCTTGACAGCTTTATTATACATATAAAAAAATTAGAAATTTATATAATAATTCGATTTACTAAAAACCACCTTTCATCACAAATTTTATATTACAGAAATATTTTTTAATTAAGAAACTTCTAAATACAAAAAAATATATAGATTTCATTATATTGTTTTTTTGTATTAATTTTAAATGAAAGATTTCACGTATTATACATTAAATAATACTTTTTCAATATAATTTAAATAATAATTTAATATTCTATCTTTTTATATTTGATCTAAAAAAATATTTCGCTTGCGGGACGTATCTCCTTGACAAATTTAAAATATTCACTAATGAAATTTAATACATGTTTGTTCTAATTGCTACTTTGAGATTAAATGAACAGTGTGACACCTTAATTATGCACACTTCAATTAATATACTGTCATTTTCAGGAACCAATGATCTGCGAGAGGAAATTAAATAGATGCTTGATCAAGTGCTGTGATGATAAACGAACTGTGAATTGACGTATTTAGTATTCGCTTATAAACATTCTACATTTTATGTATATATGATAAGCAAATTTTGAATGGCATGCGTGGCATAAACTTTCTAATGCCGACGTACTGAGAAAAAGTTCACGCTTCCGTATAAAATTGCAATCTAACGTCGAAAAAATGTTAAATATATATTTCACAATAAACGCTGAGAGACGTTTATCGATCGTCAATAGGATTGCCTAAGATTCTAGATTCTACTAGCAATGCCACGTCTTATCTCTGGTTTGAAACTTAAATTAGCTATTAGTGTTTTGCTATGTTGTATTCGTATAAAAAAAAACTTTTCGAAATACTTTTATTAAAAATGCAATTTCACCACTTTAGAACGAACTCTTGTTCACGTGCTGTCAAATTGTTTACTGTCGGTTTATTCGTTTCTCTCTGGCAACCCTTATCAGTAGCAACCAAAATCAGTTGCATCAAAATACCCAAGGAACAGTAAAAGTCAACAAAAAATCAAAGTGATTTTATTTTGATTTTTATAGTCAATAAACAGTCAAATTTTGTAACAAAAAATCGTTATTTTGACCTTATGACACCATAATAAAATTATTTTGACCTTCTCTTGACTTGGTGTGCTTCTTGAGTAATAAACTCGACTAGTTTCACAAACATGTGGCCTCCACACGCATTTCATAGCTATGCAATTATTGCAATGATAAAAATGCACTATGTTCTTCAATTCTATTACAAAAATTCGACGCAGTCATGCAATATCCTATCGATCGCAGTTTTTTCTTTTTTTTTTTTTTCGAACTTTTGGATTCACGTTGCACGTTTTACTGTTTCGTTGAAATCGTAGTAAATCTAATACATATTAAAATATATTATGCTGAGACGAGATTAAGATGAAACGTATATTTCTAGTAAACTCTAACAATTTCGTCGTTTCTGGTATATAATATCAGAAATAAATATTTTAAAATGTACAAAATGACAATGAATAAAAGTCACTGACAGACAGCTGGTATATTGCACAACCGTGTCCAACAGTTGTCGTTCAGTTTCTGCTCAGGTGCTTGCGCACTTTTCTCTCCTCCCTGCGAGATTCCCTCGTGACAATCGATCCGACATTAAAATTTCCCTCGATAAAAGTAACGTATCGTTTTTAGTAATATGTATATAAAATTACCGACTTCATTTTCGGCAGAAAAGAAAGAATTGTAATCCGCTACTAAATTACCATATAGAAACCTGTGTGTATTTCTTAGAATTATTATAAATAAATACAATATGTACACATATATGTGTGTGTACCCGCGATCTGACCAGACATATACGTATACTATCTATATTTTTTCATCTATCTTCTCCTTTTTCTTTTTTCTTTTTTCTTTTTTTTTTTTTTTGATAACAGCCAAATGTTTTTTTTTGCGGGGAATATGGCATGACTAGAACGCACTTACTTCTTTCTTCCTTTGAATTATTTTAAGGCAAGCTCACATTTTTTTCTCTCACGCGCACTTTTTTCTTCGTTTTTTTTTCTTTTCTCTTCTTCGCTTGTCCTCTCCATCGATTTTGCCTTCTTCTCTTTACTGGACACACTCGCAAGCACTCCCATGTTCTCAGATACCTCTATACATGCATACACATACATACACATTCCAATTTAATACGTCACGCGAACGTGTTCGTTGTTAATCGTCTCAGAGGATGAACTTATGTGAGTTCCCGGCACAATTAGAGTTCGTTCTTCGCGAAATCGTATCATCTCGATATCGCTTTTGTATCCTGTAATCAAAATCGAGAACAGTTTAAAAAATATATTATTTTATAAGGTTGAGAACAATTTAAAAGATTATATCATATTACATCGGAGAAAGTGCCAAGAAAGTTAATTCAGATTAACATATAATTAAGGTATAATGAATTAGAAATAATAATTATTAAATACACTGGAAGAAAAGTATTTGATAATTATGATTATCACTTTTTTCTTTCAACTGGAAATAGAAAAAAATAATAGCTTAAATATTGTCAAATACTAGAATATTGTATTAGCGCAGAATTTTTTAAATTTTATTAGAAAGTCAACTAATTTTTTCCATAAACGATACGTTCCATTTAATCACCTAATTGCTCTTTAATTGCTTCTGTTTTCTATAAAATTTTTTCTAATGTTCTGGTAGTATTCACATAACTCCATCATAAAAGACGACCGATATTAGTCATAAAACAATAAAGAACGTAATTGCTGATCTCTCTTCTCATAATGAAAATATAATTGAATCAAACCTTAACTTCGCGTTTATGGTTATAGCTGACATCGTTATACCTTCCCAATTTTATAGAAGCATATCCTAATATAATTTTACTATAGTAGATACGATGAATTATAATAATAACGTAAAATATTGATATTTGTAATAAAAGATGTTGTCCTATCTTATATACATGCGTTGAATTATTTTATATGTTGAACAAAATATTTAAGTCGTAAAATAGCAATATAACTAAGCATATTTTTTAATTCCCAGAATATCTACGAATTGATTTTGATTTTGAATTGATTTGAATATGTCAGCAGTGATGTCATAAAAACTAAAAAATTATTTGTGTGACAGCAATTATTTATTATATAATATTTCGTTTTAACTAGAGACGTTTCCATAATAAGTCCGCAAAATAATTAATAAATTATAAATATTATGAATTAATAATAAATATTAAATTATATTATTAAATATTAATAATCAATTTAGTTGTATTATTCGTGTAATTAGATTTATATAAGAGAAGAATATTATTATCGATATAGTATACATATATATGTATATATATAATGTAGTTTCTATTTTTTAACTTTTAAAAACAATACAGTAGAATAAAACTCTTTGTAACGGAAATAACTAATCGTAAGTATATATATAGTACAGTGAAAAACGTATATTATTGGAATAACTTCGTTAAAAACGTTGAAATATAGTACATTATGCCTTTTAAAAAATCAGCATTTTAAGCTTCTTTTGCTTTATAATGCTGAAAATCTAATTAACCTTGATTTTCAACTTTCTTAATTGCGGTCTCTCTGATTTGACTCGTATTTTACCTTAATGGAAATAAAGTCCTTGAGTACTTTTCTATTTCCAAAAGTAGAAAAAATTAAGCTATTTCTAACAAAATCTTACAGATAGACAGAAAACTAATGGACCGGACCAACACTGTGAAATTATAAATTAGTCCACTACACTACACTGTACTACTTAATAAGTTCATCCTGATGCATATTAGAAATGACAAACAATTAAACATGACAAATAATTGAACTGCAATTAAAAGAATTAAAGATCTTTTGTATTTACCGGTTAATAGTTTCGTTGAGCACGTGCCTTGGCGGACGCCAGAGCTAAGATATATGCAGTGGATAGGCCGACATGGCGTTACATTGGCCTTGGTTTAGAAACCCTGGATCACGCCGTAGGCCTCAAGGGTGGACATGATGAGGTAGAGCAGCCAAAGGGAGAACAGGAACACGGACGTGATGAGCTTTGGTATAAAAGGTCCGCCCAATTCACCGCCGATCGACTTGACTCGTCTTACCAACAGCACCAGGATCACGAAGCAAGCCTCGCTACAGAACAAGGTGACGGAGAAGGCCAAACTGCGTCATAAAAGAAAGTTATTCAGATATATAGTTGTGCAATGTAGGAAACAACGGCAAAGTTGCATCTGTAATTTTTGTATAGGGAGCAAGCAACCGATTATGAAATTAACTCCCTTGAGCTGACGGTGGGTTTATTGAACTTATTTAATTATATTTTTCATGTTACATCTGTTACTTTAAATTATTATTATCTTAAAATTCATTCATTATTAGAATAAATAAACTTATTTTTATTATTATTAAAGTATTATTATTATTTACTATTAATATTAATTATTATTATTAAAGTATTATTTTAGTAATAAAATATTAAGGTAAAAACTTGATATACACACACATATTGATACATACACATTTTTTATTATACGTCATATTATTTTAATTTCTTGAAATTAAGTAGTTCCTTTTAGTCAAAATAGATAAATCAAATGGGTCTCGGTATCAACTAGATTATAAATTTTTACGTCAGTTTCGGACGTTTAAACATTGAATTCTTTTTCATAAAGAAATTATTCAAATCTTTGTCTTTTATATTTTTAAAACAATATTATTTAAAGGCAAAGGTTAATGAAAATTAAAGTTCTCGATGCTTTAATTGGTCATTATGAAAAAATCTTCGAAATGTCTATGTTGTACTTACATTTATCAAATTTATATAAAAATTTACCACATTTTCAAAAACATAGTAAGAAAAAAGATAAAAAGATATTTTCTTTCCATGTCCTTACTTTCAAAAATTCAACGTTTAAGCTTTTGAAATTGTCTTCATGAAAATGTGAAGGAGAGAACTTTTCTGGTGGAACCACACAGATTCATTTCCAATTCCAATTGGCGATGTCAAAACTATCATTGAAAGTCAATCAACGACTGAGCACTTGCAAATTTGATTGCAACCATTATAATACCACCTGTGTCTACAGCAATAGATTACATCTTAGAACACACCTGAGCACACTAGTGCACAATCTAAATAATCTATTATTCTTAATAAATTGTCGTAATATTTCAACTTCAAGCAGAAACGTTGCCTTATCTAATCTTATTCTAAAACAAAGAGAAAATGCATTTCCTAATATAAAAAACGAAAGAACGTCTTCTTTTGAAGACTAGAATTTGTTGTAAAGTAAATTATTCAAGGAAAATATAATAAACTTATATTAAAAGTCTACAGTTTTAAACTGAGAAAAAAATGTAAAATTAATTATTTCACAAAAACAAAATTTTTAAGTAAGTATAGTAAAAACGCGCATTTCTGTGTTTTGTCAACTATAAAAAATACAACTACATTCCAAATAAAAAAATTTACTATTTAAGAAATTAATTATTTCGCAACAAAAAATAGTATTATTTAACGAAATTGTTTAGACGCAATAATTGATTGGAGATGTTTCTTGTACATTCATGTATTTGATTTTCATGAACTATTTTCCAACAAGGTACACAAACAACTGTGTTCAATACGAAGTGTATTTCAATTGTAAAATACTGCTGGATACTATAAAAATCCAAATATAAGGGTGTAAAATTTTGTGTAGTGTTTTCTAATATTAAAAAAAATTTTATATAGAAATATAGAACGTGTAACAACTTTTTGTATAATTAAATTATACAATTATACTATATGGCTTTATTAGATTATTATAATGACATAATAAATAATAATAATATATAAATGATATATATTATACTAAATATATTAATATTACTTAAACGATTACAATAAAAAAAGAGAGAACTGAAATGCACTCTTAGAGTAATTGTAAGTTTATAATGTCCTCTCAGAAACTAAGTCTAGAGTTTCAAATCGTTCCAACAAGTATCGTACACGAATACAACACGAAGTGTACTGTAGCGTGTTCTTGCTAGGAAACACTCAGCATCATCCGATACGAGACCAGGTACAATGCTCCATTTCGCGGTTGGCAATCCGTCGAAATCCTCGTGAAATAGAATGCAGTGTAGCATAGTAGAGTAAAAAATTGTATGTCATAAAGACCCTTTAACAGTTTTCTAGTATTTTATCAGCGTTATTTTTCACGACAAATATGCAATGTACAAAATATTTAAAAAAATAAAGAAATAATCATTCTCTTCTAATATAGTATTATACGAACTCCGGAGTTCCGATTTCGCTTCAATATTACGTCGAGTGTCTATTGATGTAGATAAATGGCCAATTTCTCGGATACTTTCTTCGACATTTCACAATTTCATAGCTCAGAACAATGGCAGTCGCGTTAAATGTCGTCGTCGCGAGAGCGATGTTGGCCAAGTTGCTGTCATCGTGCTTCAACCAAATATCTTAGGAATAGTTTCATGAACGAGATCGTAAATGGAGAATGATGCTTTGTTATCGAGGTCACGCTTTACTTAATCTATAACGTAACGTTTTGTGTCATCGTGACATATCCGGTGTCATTCGTAAGATTCCGAACTAGCGTGAAAATGCGCTCACGAATTATCGAAAATTAATTTTGTTGCTAACTAATATATATGTATTAAACACATGCGCGTAAATTACATTCACAAATATATATTTTTTACGAGAAAACAGAAGTAACGAGAAATAAATGTTCAGTAGTACCTCCAGAAATGCTGACGTAATTTTGCCAACGTGATGTACAAAATAAATTATATATAATGTGTGTTTATAATAAAAAATATTAGACATATAAAAATATAATATAAGTAATATAATAATAATGTAATAATAGAATATAAATAATAAATAATATAATATATATAAAATAAAAATAATTGTTTATTATCTATTATATTAAAAGTTTTTTGAGAAAAAATACCCTAAATTTAAATAAATATTTATTTGAATACTTCCAACTAAATGTTTACTTACAGTATTTACTTATTAAATAAGTATTTACTTAATAAAAAGAAATTATTGTTAAATCAAATTAATATTTCTTCTACCACACAAATAAATATATCTTTATAACCAATAAGAAATTGCCTTTAACGGTCGAGCTGGATCTTAGGCGCTAATTATAATTCCGTGTGAATTTATATATTACGGATGTAGTCTTTTAAACCGCGCGCCGAATAATTTTTCGATCTTGAAACGCCACTCTACGAAACACTACCGCAATAATATCACGAGTTAAATTATCTAGCGTTAAAAGCAATTTCTTATTGGTTGTGTTTTTCACATGTATGGTTCTATAAGATTTAACATTTAAATATTGTATACATCTTTATATTTAATATATAAATATTTAGTTGGTACTATTGAAATAAATATTTATTTAAATTTATGATATTTTTTTAGTGTAATTAAGCTTTGAATTCGTAGGTAGATTGTTTACTAAATTAAGCATTTTTCTGTACACCGGATGTTCGTAATTGCTTCCACTACTTACTTGCCAGGTTCGACAAGGAACGGTTCGCTGTGGCAAGCACGGTAAATGGCGGCGATACTCCACGCGACGCCGATTCCCAGGAAGACGTTTACCGCGTTACTTCCAGTCACATTGCCGACACTCGCGTCGGCATACTTGTCCTGGCAAGCGGCCACTTTGCTCGCGAACGTGTCTGAAATATTTCAGAGTCTTTGTTACTTTGACAAGTGCACGAAGCTATTAATGTACGAATAACAATGACATGTTTTATTAGACTATTGTTATGTTTGAACGTTACAATTATCATAATATCCCAGACAACAGGCATGTCTAAAAGATATCATAAACACATCTTTTACATGCCTTTGAAGATATTTAAAAGACGTCGTAAAGATTTTCTTTAAATATGCGTCTTGCTAGAGCTATTTAACACATATAGTCTGTTTTGTAAATTATTTAAAATATTTGAAATTATTTTTATTAGAGATAAATTGTTTTTCACATTATAATTTTTTTTAGATTATTCGTATTTATGCTTTAATGAAATAACCAATATATTTCCTGGTAGTGCAATCAAAAAGAGCTCACTGCGAAAAATGGTCTGGTTGCATTAAATAATAATTTCGGTGGAAAATAAACGAATCAGAATTTTCTGGTTTAATTTATTAGAATCCCAGTTGAAATAACTAAAATTTTGACTGTAATGCACATTTCTTATAAAAATAAGAATTTTAATGGATTTTATAAGAAATATTATATTAACCAAAGAGAATTCCAGTTTGATTCGTCCATTTTCAACCAGAAATGTTTTTCAGTAAGAGTAATTTCTCATAAAAAAAAAATAAAAAATGAAAATATGAAATTTTTTATTATTCACTTCCTTCTGTTGACCTTAAAGTAATAAGGCATTTAATCTCTGTATTATTTGTTTGTAAATGACGTCATTAAATTTGTTATACGTTGAAAATTAGCGCATTGATTCCTAATATTTCTTATATTCTTACTATTCTTGAACACTGAGAGTCTGTACTCTATTTATATATATTTAAAAAATAATATACTTCAAATTTTATATCATGTATTTTGCTCCTCTATTATGAAAAAGTTTAAATATCTTTTTTCAGACTCGATATATATAGAAAAACATGCAATAATAAATATTTTACGTAGGCGGTAAAAAAAATCGTCATTACGTTTTATATAGTTTTATATAGTTTCTTATATATAAAATTAAACATATACATATATATATATATATATACAAATAAGTAAATTTTTAACGATCAAAGCGTTATTGTATCTGTTATTTAATTCGTTCTTAAAAATACATTTCTTTATCGAGTTCAAGGTTAACGAGCTCCAAGATTATAATTTAACCGATATTGCTTTTTATTTATCCGCAAATTTAACGCTTTATTCACGGCGTTATGCGAGATAAAACCCGTATTTCACGCCGCAGCACCACGTGTATGACCCGCGCAAGTAACAAAGCGGCTTTTTAGTACACATATTCTGTCAGGAGAATCAAAGATCGTCAACCGCACTTAAAACCGTTGTGCCGCAGGATTTGTGGTAACGGCTTGGAATATGCGGCTTGTACCAGTTTGCAGTTTATAGCAGTGTAAGTTCGGTCGTCGAGTTGTGAGCAGAGTGCAAAGCGCCCTTCGTCGTTGTTACAGAGGGCAAGAAAATCCCGTAGTATAACAGAGCACATATGTGAAACGTATCTATACGTTTAATAACAACTTGGTAAAACGTGCGCTCCAACTTCGTGCGCAGTAAATACCACGATTTCTGAAATTATATAATATATATCTGCACAGATGTGGATAAAAATTTAATCTAAAGAATTTTCGAAAGCAATTTTTATCGTTGCCTTCTATTATTTTTATATTAAATTCACGTTAAGGATATTTAAGAGCAATTCTTATTTACATTAAAAGAAATTTACTACATTTTTAATAGTATTTCTTTGAATAGTACTAATTGTAAGTAAATTAATATTTACTTATTGCAAATAAATATTTACTTAATAAAAAATTATGGTTAAATCAAGTTTTCGATTCATTTGCGTTGCTATTATACTATTATATGCTATGTATGTATCAATGCAATAATTAAATAGTCGAATTAGCAAGGAGGATTGTTTATTCTGAGCTTATGTCATCGGTGTATACCTTTGGTATTACATTATTACTGCAGTAGTAACACTCAGCAATCCATCCACCGTGAATGATAGTTAACTTTGTCTTGTATTATCGTAAGACGGTAATTAATTGTCGTAATATTTGTTTTAACAATTAATCTGTACAAAGTAATTACGATTAATTGTTAATCAATATATAAGCTTTATAATTTGTTAACAATGATTTAAACAAACAGAATTTGAAGTAATAATTATTAAGTGTATGCACGCATATTTGTGCAAAATTTGTGGATAATCGATTAACCAATATAGCATTAAAAAGAAATCTAAGATATTCTTCAGTAATAACTAACATAGAGTAAAAATAAACAAATTTTTTAGGATGTAATAAATATATATATATACACATATACATATTAATAAAAATATAAAAGTTAATTAAATATTTAAAAAATAATCTAAAATATATAAGATTCTACATAAATATGCGATTTGCTTCGCTATGCGTGATTTAACGCAATGCAGATCTTGATATCATATTATAAGTAATTCTGAAATATTTTGTATAGGTAAGTATTCTAAATAAATCCTGTCTTTCGATTTTTTTTTGTTGGTAATACGATAAGATCGTCAAACCGATCTCGGTGAGCGGTACTTTGGAAGATCGAAGGTACCCTTTGGCATAAATATTGATGAGGTTCTGGGAGAAGAAAGTTTCTTGTAAAGTTTCTAACAGAGAAAAAACACGGTATAAAAGAAAAGCACAGTGGCCTAAGTAATCCAACCAAGAAGCTGTGCGTCATGCAAATCTCGTCGATATTCAGCCAACGTAGGGCCTTGGCCGGCATTTTTCAAATAAATATAATTTCGGAATTCTCTGACGTAATTTAAAAATAGAAAGAGATATCTTTCTGTATAAGTTAAATTAATAATCAAAATTAGTAAGAACTCTCTCTCTCTCTCTCTCTCTCTCTCTCTCTCTCTCTCTCTCTCTCTCTCTACACATTGTTTCTCCTTTGGACATTAAAATAGCTGCACGTTCACTGAACATTAAGATGTTACGGACACATTTTTGGGATAATCAATTTCAAACTTCTGTTTTAGATGTAAATTTTGAACGTAACCTATTGACCCAGAAACTTGAAATGACGCGACTGTCGTTACGCTTTTAATAGCTTTTGATAACGCCCACTCAAATAATTTATTAAATGCTCGTGTCGTGAATTTCGTACAAAAATAGAAGACAAAGGTCAGATCATAATTGCTTCTGAAGAGTTGTTAATGTAATTAATTTTTGTAAATATGACTGTATACTCACATTTTTAATGTGTGTTTTATTAAAATTATTAAAATAAAATTATATCTTGTTCTGTCCTTGTTTGTTCTTTTTTTATTTTAAATGTACAAAATATAAAATATTTTGGAATCTAAAAAGTGCTTGAAAAAGTCCAATATAGAACATTCTAATTAGAATGCAACAATGAGATATAATCTTGTAAATTACAACGCCATATTGAATGCGAAAACTTTGTAGAAGCAAAGAAATGAAAAATTCTAACACGATTACAGTAATATTAGAAACTAGTAAAATAAGAAATAGAATAATAAGGTTTTGTGTAATATTATTATTTTCTTCTCCGTACGTCGAGTTTAATTCCCTGCATTTTTGTAGGAAAGTCAGAAAAGATTGCTATATTTTTTGGCCTCTTAAATGTACGTAATCCCTTAACATAAATATATTTCACCGCAACATTGCCATAGAGCAGTGTAAGTCTTCTTAAGGCAAACCCTTTAATTTTGCTACAATTTTACGACGCAGTAATATTTTTTGCGCGACGTATACAATATTGCAATTTTACAATGCAATTTTATAGCAGTGCTGCAACCCTCTGGTGGTACATGTACGAAGAAAGTGTATTTAACTCGTTTATGGTTGCACGTGTTAACCGTTCCATCCGAAAGAACATAGGCCGTTGGCAGCCATTATTCCCAGACACAAAGACCAAGTGCAATAAATTATCATTGCTCTCCTCGCTTAGGTAATCTCAAAAGCCTGCCGTAATACAGCAGATGTCATAAGTAGAAATGCGATCAATGCTTAATGTGAAGGTAAACTAATGTGAGAGATAAGTTGCTTTTTCTAATAATAATAAAAATCTAAGTAAAGGGCATGTAACAGTCAATAATCAGTAAGATTTAAATATAAAATAGACATATGTATAATAATAAAAATCTTTGTTAGGATTTTTACAAACGTTTCGGTGGTATAACATTAAAATGTCTCGATGGTACAACAATATAATTACATTATGTAATTATATGTGATTTTTATTTTTATTTAATAACAAAAGTCTTTATATATATTTACTATTTTCTAATAATGTACTGAGAAAATGTTCTGATTGTATCAACAAGCGAAGTACAAACAAAACAAATTCTGATTATATAAATTCTTATCGTAATCAAACTTCTCGACTAGCATGTTTAATTTAAGTATTTAATTTGAACACTAAAAGCATACTAAATTTCAGAATTGGAAAAGTTACCTTACAAGTTACTTATAAATCACTTTGTATTACAGAAATGAGTATAATTAATTCGGGTATTTTATTTTTTATATTATATTTTATCATTTGCTTCAATTTTGTATCACTTTTTGTACTCAGTTTTTATAATAAACATATAAGGTAACCAAAAAAATAACTTATAAGTAACTTAAAAAGTAACTTTTTCAACTCTGCTAAATTTACAAAAATAATTGTTTATATACGTCTAAGTAAATATTTACTAAATGTAAGCATATATTTATTTGATACAAGAATCATTAAATTTGACTTAATATCATTTTTTTCATTTAAAGTAAATATGTATTAGATGTTTAATTAGTTTTATTATTCAAAGAGATATATGTATTAAGATTTATTAAAAATTTATTTGTACTTTCTGATTGAATCTCTGCCAGAATTCTAATCCAACAAGACATTTTCACGTTTTCTCTCGATGTCGTCCTTTTTTGTAGTATATTATCCTCAGTTTTTAGGCACTTACCAGGAATGCTGGTACCGAGGGCGACAAAAACAATCGCGGTGACAGAATCCTTGATGCCCAAAGTACAACCAAAATACGAGGCAACATCGCCGATTATCGCCGTGACCACGCCAATCCCCAGAATACTGACAATAAAGCACAAATATCCGCCGGCGATATCTGAAATTTAAAAAATGTTTTCCATACGTTTTGCGAGAGCAAAATACAGAGTTTCAGAACTGGATTGTTAAATAATATAAATATTGTTTGCGCTCGTATTTCTTTTTATATAAAATAGAAGAAATAAGAAAATATATATAAAGTGATAAAAAATGTTAAGCCACGAAGTTTTGTGTTTAAACATTAATAACGCATGTTTACAAGAAACAACTCTCTGTTTCTCTCCCCTCTCTCTCTCTCTCTCTCTCTGTCTCAAAATGGCCATCTTTAGCTTTGATGTAAACTTTAGACGCTACGGGAATGTATCCACGATGGTCATGCATTTTTTCACGGATAAATTCTCTTTTAGGGAAGAGATTATGTCTTCAATTCACCAACTCTCAAAATTTTTTGGTGCAGAATTTTTTGATTTTTAATTAAGGTATAATTTATTAAGAAAAAAAAAGATAGTGCCTTCAATAAAATTGTTTAGTTGAAGCACTTTTTAACAGCAATCAAATATTTTGTTTATATTACAAAAAATTTAGTTGCTTTCGAAGAAAATAATTTTTCTGTTTTGTAAATAACAAAAATATTTATTTATATCAACTAAGTAATTCAGTTCGCATAAAATTACAATTTTGTTCGATACATTTGAACCAAATTTAGCAAAATTTGGATTATAGTACAAAACATTTTTCCTAGTTAGTATAACCAACACAATCCAGAGTTTGTTTTCTCTTATACTATATATTACTGTTCAGGTAGCAACTTTGTGGCATTATTTGTCGTTGTTTTTAAAAGGCGACAAATAATGTCAACTTATTATCTGGGTAATTATTTGATAAATATACAAAACTTTGTGGCAAATTTTTTGTCACCTTGTATGTAAAATCCATATTGGACAAAAGATTATAAAAAATTAATTAAACCGGAAAATTAATGTTAAAATCGCTGCCTTTCATTTTAATAATGGAAGTGAAACCGATGATAATTTTTGGAGCTTAATAGAAAAAACATTGGGTAACAGTGCCAAAGAACTTTAATCACTTTGCGCGATATGCGGGATGAACAAAATGCAAATTATAAAGTGCCGCTCTTTTCGCAAACATGCACTACTACGAATAACCACACGTTTGAGAGCTTAATTAGTCTAGTTAAAAGTCCACAATTTTTCCTCATTTACGCTTACTCTCGGGACTAATTACGCTGCCTCAGCTCAATTCTGCTTGGCTTTTACAAATCACGAAGCTCGTAACATTAAAAGTGCTATTTTACCGTAATTGACTATTTCCGATAAATAAAATCACTTATAGTGATTAGTTAAAAATTTTTATAAATGGACAAAATTTCTATTAAAACTTTACGATTTTTTTTTAAATGTGAAATTTTTGTGCAATGTTTGCTTTTAGTACATGTTTTCATATATAATTTTATACAAAAATCATTTAATCATAAGTTTTTTTAAAAATGCAACTTTTACATAACTGTTTCATTTCTCATTCGTATTCTTTTTATTTCTTATAGGCGAGTGCTTAATTACGTTCAACACAGAATAGAGATAGAATGTAGGATATCTAAAAGACAGAAATAAAAATACATAATCAATTTAGTATCCTCCGTACAGATTTATTTTGCAAAAATTAAAATAATTATAATTTCACCAAAAATTATCGTATTTATGTAAGTAAGTTTGTTTCTTTTTATTTGAATCATTTAGAAATATAATTTCTTCAAAACTTGCCAATCATAACGTACTCGTACACTTTACTAATAGTAAAATCAAGATTGCGATGTATTTTGTTTTCAAGAATAGTGAGGAAAAACTTCTTTACGAGTCTTGTATTATAATTCTTGTGTAATAAGTCTAATAATTCTTGTGATAAGTCTAATTTAATGGTAAGGTAATCTTTTTCATAATAGCTTCTTTACCTCGTGTACTTTTTTAAAAATATTTTTAGTCTCTTTTTACGTATTCTATTTTCATTTTTATTATATTCAGTTATATTCTTTTCTCTCTTTCCATTTCCTTTTAGTTACATTCAACTCCACACGTTACATTAAAACTGATATTGAAAGGTTTTTTTCTCGCATATTATACTGTATATGGATTTTCTCAATCCCATACATACATTATTGTGAAAATTTAAAACGACTTTCCTTTCGTAAACATATCTTTATCGCAGTATGCTTGAAAAGTAAGCATCTTCTCACATTTGTGAATATATAGGTATCATCTTAGAATTATAATCATGTCTCAAAATCATGTGACAAAAGCCCTTGAAGCGGTACATAATGGCACGGATATTATCAACCCCTAATGTTCTCCAAACAATTATCTGAGATATTCACAATTGATGTGAAATTTGCGAAACGCTTTCTATGGAATTGTTATTAAAGACATTTGAAATTCTTTGAGAGCCGTGAGGCTTACGCGATTCCATGCCGCAAGTAAAATGCTCTCTTTCTTTCTCACTGCATGTATGTGACAATAAAAGAAAATTATTATTAGAATCTGTATACAAAGATACGTTTACGGTGGAACGTGGGCGTTAATATAGCTAAAGAGTCTGTAAACACGCGGTTAGTTTTACTGTTAACACGTGGCCGATGTATATTATTGCAACCCGCTTGCTATACTTTTATACTAAACTCGACTGATTTATTAAAGTGTTTCGTGGTCTTTTCAAGCAACTCTCGCTCTTATTGATTACATTATGTAATTATCGGAAAATCGAGTAAGCTCGGAAATTCTCTCGAGATGGAATAAAAACTCGGTTGACAATATTAAATAAAAAGTCTGAAAGTATAAAACTCTAAAGTACAATAGAGATCTCTTATATATAATATACTATTATTTGTAATTAAAGTGTAAAAAACTTTTATTAAAAAAATTCTACTTATTTCTTGTAACCTAGTTTTTCACATTTTCTTTTCAAGTTAGAAACCTTTCTAATATAAAACAGAATGTATGATGTTATCAACAGTACTAAAAATAATTTTTTAAAAAAGATTTCTACTAATTTACTTATTTTACTCGAACGTACTCGTATTATCCGTCGCGAGAAATGTATCAACTCTTAATTTTTATTAAAGAAAATTGTGTTTAGTATCTCATTACTTTGTACTATTGCCATAAATTCCGAACGAAATTTACTTTGGAAAAGAGTATAGAAGCACAGGTCACCATAAATCACGCAGAAATTTCGTGAAAATTTCGTGAGAGAGCACAGAGAAGAATGTATAGCCGTATGTGTAGTAGCGTTCTTTATCTATTCGTTTGTACATGTGGCGTATTTGCCTGTGTAATATACGTACATGTTCCTAGGATTTTCGAACATCTCTTAAAAAAAAAAAACCGTTAAACTAAGATTATGCATATCTCTGCGTTTATGTATACATAACTTGCAAATTAAGTTCTTGGAAATTCAACTATCATCTTCAGATTTTGCAGGCTTTTCTGGTAACATGTCTTCTCCCTGCGGAATATTGCATTTAGTAATGCGATGTGTTCATAAATCTCGCTGATACTATTGCAACCACATATTACGGTTGCATAACCTGCAGTTACATAACTCTAAATTTCAGCTTATCTGGAAAGTATTGCAATCGTAATAGCAAAATATTTTATGTATAATCAGGAATTGTAAAAAATGGAGATATTACAATATCTATTATTACACAGAAGAAAATATTCTGGTTAAATCAACAAAAAGATTCAATTAGAATGGTATTTTAGTAAAATCAAATAGAATTTTTGATTACAATAACCAGAAAATAGTTATGATAATCAGAAATTCTGTTTAATCTCACCAAAATGCAATTTTGAATTTTTTATTAGTTTAACCAAAACATCTCTCTCGGTATATTATTGTACTTTTCTTTTAATTTTCTATTCTGTTTGCTTATTTAATTCAATTAATATAACAAAGTTTATTTTTAGTTTAATTTAATTAAGCTTTGTTAACAAATAGGAACATTTATTTATTATATTCTAAATTAGGATTTATTTTCAATATCAGAGAAATTCCTCGATTACTTCAATAATTTCCGGCTGTGCGGAAATAAAGCTTTTTTTTGTTTATAAAAGATGAAGCGAGAGGAAGAGTAAATACAATTCTGCACCTTGTACTTCTGCATAGAAACGTTGATCTATAAGGATGACGGGTAAAAAAGAAGAGAAAGATAAACAAGGTGAAATTACGTTGCTCGATACAGTAGTTTCCAAAGCTTTTGCAGAGTTCAGCAGGTCTTTGCGATTGTGCTTGCTGAAATAAAGCACGTCTTCTCCTCGCCCTTTATCCTCCTCTTACCGTCTTTCCTCGTTTTCTTTCACCTGGATGGAAGTAGAGCCATGACTAAAGAATGCAGAAAAGCTCTTCCATATCTCAAAAAATACAGGAAAAGGGGTTAAAATATAAAATCATCAGAAATATCAAAAATAAAAAAAACCAATAAAATCCGTGAGAAATTTAAGACATAAAATTACACAAACAAAAAGAATCGATTTTTTTCAAACCTTTTATAAAATCCTATAATCAAAGTATTTGGTTACAAGTAGCCGAGTTTCTTCAGTTTTGTTTTTGCACAAAGATAATATCTACTATATCTTCGTGTTCTTCAAACTGTTAAGATGGATTACTGAATAACCTACAATAGTTTTAAAATTTCACAGTTATTTTTCGAAAAATATCGCATTAATTATAAATCGATTTGTAATTAATCTTTTCGTCCGCACGTGAATATTAAAAAATATTATCTCGTGAGAGAGTTTAAGTGTACCGTTTTCCGTTTTGCAGATTGCGCCATCATAAACACATTTTGATTGAAATTCGGTTTATCTTTATCATGTTAAAGCCAATGACAATTTTGTATCTATAAACGTTTTCATGTAGATTAAAACCACAGTATTAGTATTCACGATAAAATATATATTATTTCGAAGGTGCTAAAAATATCTTTTCGCATATTGACAAAACTAATCGAATTTATAAAATTGTTGGACAAATATTTTTACCATTTGTGCTGTAAGAATCATCAATAAGAAGTTTCTTGTGCAATTTTTGTACATAAAAATAATATAAGGAACTAATTTATTTAACAAATATGAATAGTATACTAATAATAAATAAATTATTATAGGTTTTATTTCATATTTGAATTTGTTATAATAAAATATAAAATGTCTTGTAAACTATTGATCACTTAATATAATATTTTTTTATTCAGAATGTTCATGCAAAAAGTTGAAGCATTAAAAAAAATATTATTCAACAAATATTATGATATAAAAATATTATATTTTACAAAATTTCGATAACATTGACATCTTATATAAAACGCAAAAATTTGCATTTAAAACACTTTTATCCAAAATAAAAGAAAAATGATAATAAAAAATGTTTCAAATTTAAAGAAATAATGAAAAATTAGGATGTACATTAAAGTGGTTCATTTCATATACACAAATAGACAATAATATTAATATAAAAAGATATTTTTTTTACCTGTGGGTGGAACGAAGGCAAAGAGAACCTTCCAAAAGATCGTAAGTGAGTGCATAAGATAATCCATCGCGGATGGTGAGGAAGGTTGACCGTTTTCACCCTCTGCGTCGTCCTCATCACCCCTACTGACAGTCAGCGCTTCCATGAATTGTTCTTTCCAAGAACTTGTGCCTAAAAATAAAATTTTAGAATTTATATACGTATTTTAGAAAAACTGAAAACGAAAGAGACATATATTTCAAATATACTGCAATAGATAAATTAATTTTATAATCTTAAAACTCTTTAATTCATATTAACAATTATTTAAATTGATTTATAATAATTCTTGATTACCTAATTCTTAAAATAGTTAATGCTGTTGCAGAAATTATTTAGTAAACTACGACAGTCCCCGCTCATTATGCATAAACAAACAAAGGATTCAGTCTGTTCCTTCAATAAAGACTCAATACTGAATGCAGTAAAAAGAATGCTATAAAATTTCATTTTTGTTCACATTCGTACATAATCGTGATTATATAATCGTGACGAACAAGCGAATGAAGCGCTATAGAAGGTAAAAGTCGAAAAATGCTTTTCCGCGATTCCGCTTCACAGGCCGAGTGAAAGCAGAACATGCAGAAAGGAAAACCGGACAAAGAAAAGCACTATATAATAGGGCAACGTGATATTCCCTTCTCACTGTAATCGATTCCATTTCTACACGAGTATATATACATATATACATTGAGAGAGACAGAGAAAGGGATAGAATAAGTGAAAAATATACGGAAAAATACAAATTGGATGGTTCAGTAAAGCTACAGCTTGCTGCGTGAATTTAACATTTATAACTAAGAAGATTTGATAGTTTAATAAAGAAATTATGTTTGTAAGTACTAATTAATGTTTTTACAGTACAAATTCCTGATATAACAATTAGTTTCCTTCATTATAGCAGCAAAAGTCGCTATCTTAGCCAGTTTTAAAAAAAATTTTGATCTATATATTGGATTAATTTTCATAGAAAGTTATCTTTGTTGTAAGTATTAACAAATTTTTGTAATTACAATGAATATAATTATCCGATAACCGTTAATTTCATTTATCTATACAATGTAGATTTGCCAAATTGGTGAAGTTTTTAATTGTTTTAATAAATTGTTTTTTTCCATGGAGAGAAAATTAAATTGTTTTCATCTCGTTTAATTTTTGTAATAAATATTTATCAAATAAAGTATACTTTTGTTTTTAAATATTTTACGTATTGTACTATACAAGTACTTTGTCATTAATAAAAACTAGGTATTTATTAAGTGTCGAACAAAATTATCACAATAATAAAGTTTCATTGCTGTTTGTAAATTCGATTTCTTGACCAAAGCTCTCACCAAAGCTTTTCAGAGATGCTTTGAGGAACATAAAGTACGTGGAATAACTTCCTGCCGTGAAGAAAAGAAAAGCCTCCCGGGGAGCGAGCACGAGGAGGAAATGAACCAAAATGGCAATAGAAAACAGCTCGTTCCTGATATCTTCGTGATTTTTATTGTTTTCTATGTTTGAAGTCGCAAAAGGGAATTCAACGTGGCTATTTTTAAGGCTTTCATTGGAAATTTACGAATTCGTAATAGGTGGTGATAATGGCGCCATTCCGAGGGATTTTGTTATTTCGTACCAATTTGTTTACACAAATAAAATTTAAGCAAATGAGGATCTTATTTACAAATTTACCAGTTTTAATTTAAGTCTTATTAAAGTATTAATTTTTTTTATACAAAATAAATATTATAATATATATGCGTTAGTAATATAAAAATAATAATTACATTGAAAGTACTTATAATTACATATTAAATGTCAATTTACAATGAAAATTTTTATTTGCAATTCATGCTTTTAGCTTAGCGCATATTAGAAATGCTGCTCAAGATGTAAAGAAATGTAAGAAATATGTTTCTGAAACGGTTGCATAGCCAATGCAGCAAAAATTTAAGGTGGCAGTGAATGTAGGAAATGCAGAAACGTGAGAATCATGCATATGGCGCCGAGGGAGTCTTGAATTTCACGAGCCTCTACATAATGCTGCATTCCTCAGAGTTGCATTTTTAAAGAGGCTCAATCTAGATGCTCGCGCGTCCCGTGATACGCATTTCTCCATTGGGAAAGATTAAGTCAAGCAAGTTCGAATTGGACGTGCAGACTGTTCAATAATAAATTCATGGCAGAAGCTTGGTGAAGAAAACTTCTTGTAAAGAAAAACTACGAGTAGAAATTTTACTATATTTATATAAATATATATGTATACGAAACAGTCATAAGAATTAGTTAAAATTTTCATCCACATTTTCTCCCTGCTAATCGCTCTTTCTTGTTTCTTATGGTTTAATAAGGAGTTATTAAACATGTGTAACATGGGAATACAATGTTCTATCTTACAATCAGCTATTACAATTGTCATAATTATAATTACATAATCAGACGCTTTATATTTAATGCCTAAATCTGATCCTTAATTCAGTCACAGTGCTTGAGTTATTGTTAAAAGTTTCCGACTAACGCATAATTTTACAATAATTTTTATTCATGACAATCTTGTTTTTAATTTATAATTTGATAAAATTATTGTTACCTATATCATCTTAGGAATTCAATATTTTATACATATCTTATATAAGCGCGTTATTCGAAAATGTTAAACTATAGACTAAATGTTTTATATTTATGATAAATATAAATACATATTTTTAGTAAATATTTTTCACTGACAAGGGGACGCTCAAGTTAGTATATCACGGATTTGTTTGAAAAAAATTGAGGTGATACTTTGAGACAAAAAAATTTAACCGTGTTTCGGCATTTTACTCCATAGAGCCCCGATTGGTCAAAAAAATTAAAGTTCGATCCCTGGAGTATGCATTTTTTTTTTTATTATTATTATGATATTACTGTAAAAAATAATATATTTTAAACTATTTATATCTATTAAAACCTTTTTTTAACTATTAAGAAAACATTAATTATTGAATATCTTCTTGCATTTCAATGAAAAATTTTACAGCATAAATGTATATTATTTTTTTATTGTTATTATTCAAATTTTGAAATTTTCTCAAAATTGTTTTTTAATTTCATTTATTACATTAAACGCATAAATTAAACGCATAAATGAACTTAAAAAACAATTTTAAGAAAATTTCAAAATTTGAATAATAACAATAAAAAAATAATATACATTTATGATGTAAAATTTTTCATTGAAATGCTAGAAGACATTTAATAATTAATGTTTTCTTAATAGTTAAAAAAAGGTTTTAATAGATATAAATAGTTTAAAATATATTATTTTTTACAGTAATATCATAATAATAAAATAAAAATGATAATAAAAAAAAAATGCATACTCCAGGGATCGAACTTTAATTTTTTTTTACCAATCGGGGCTCTATGGAGTAAAATGCCGAAACACGGTTAAATATTTTTGTCTCAAAGTATCACCTCAATTTTTTTCAAACAAATCCGTGATATACTAGCTTGAGCGTCCCCTTGTGAGCTGATTATGTCTTATTAAGTATTTTCACACATAACATTTACTATAATTTATATACGATAAATATTTCATAATTCTTATAATAAATACCTACAATCTATGCAATGTAAGACCATAAAAATATTTATAAAATATTACAAATAAATCTTATAAATATTTTGTGAATATTCTATAAATATTGTATGCTATCTGAGACTATATTAGGTACTTTATATTAGGTTATTATTTATATAAAGATTCTTTATAAAATAATATATAATAAGCAACTATAAAATTATTTATTAACCGGAAACATTTAGCGCAGTCTATTTAAAAGATTTTCTCCTTTACATATTTATACGAGTTTTTCGAACTGGATGACACAATCAGAATGAATGTGACTTCTTATGAAAAACTAATAAGAAATTTTATGGAAGTGTCCGCCTCCAATGTTGATGAACTTTAAATATGTTATTTTATAGACAAAATTATTTTAAAAGTTATTTTAAAAGACATTGTTTTACTGAATATTTTTATTAAAAAATCTGTTTCTGAGAAAAATGTTTCCAAAAATTAACAAATTAAATAGTAGGCTGACATAAAAATATAACATAGTGACATCTATTTTTGTCTACAAAACGTCATCTTATTATTTAGGAAATATAAGTTGATATTTTACTTCTCAATTGTGCTACAAAAAGTTCAAAAAGACACTATATGTGAGTGTATACGCGCGCGTATGATTGTAATCTTCAGACTTTACAGCAGATGTTCCAAGAAGAAATCGTATTAGAAGCTCACCGAGTATTATGGAGGCGTTTGCTCGCTGGACTAGCTTATCCACAGTGTTCTTGAACTCTTTGGATTCTTTAATCCTGATTTGCGCTCGGAACACCTCGCCTAGACGCGGTCTGCCCAACAGTGCCATTTTCTCCTCTTCCGTTCTCTCCTCCGGCTGCTTCAGCTCCGCCGCTGCAGCGATTCCTGCTTCCGCTGAAACCAGAAAATCGCGCCTTGCTACTTTAATAATGTCGAGACACGTTCTATAACAGAATAAGTGGAAAGCCGATTCATGGTCAGATAAGAACAGCGAAACAGTTTCTGTTAATTAAACAGTTTTAATTAATTTCAGTCTGGCATAATAAATATGCGAGTCATATCGTTGTAAACTTTTTTATTGGATATATTTTTAGATACTGAATGACCCATTTTTGCATCAGCAAAATGCTAAAATTTTTAAGTACCTTTGAGAAGAGTTTTAACATCGAGAAATATTAAGATACTGACAATTTTAAACCAAGTTAAATTAAGACAAAAAATTTTGAAACAAGTTATTAAAAAATATAATTATATGTATTATTGGGTGTGGGAAAAAATTCGTGGCATTTTTTTAACCCAATATATAGATATATTTATTTCACACATATGTGTAAAAGATCTTTTGATAGAGTAAAGTTTCAGCTTTAGAATCTATTTTTTAAATTGCGATACGACAATTTTTAACGGAGTTACGAGCAATTAAAGTCAAAATGATCTTTTTATTTAATTTGCGCGATAACCAAAAATCGTAAGAATATTTTTAAAAAACGATTTATAGGGAAAGCATCAATCTTTTACGATAGATAGTAAAAAATTTGCTAGAATTTGTTTTCGGCACGTTACAAACCCACAAAGTGAAAAGAAAATTGTCCATCTTTTTCAGCTCGTGGTTTATTTTGGTATGTAAAAATTATCAAACTCACATAAACTTAAAAAATATGGTAAGCTTTTGAAAGTAGAGATTGCTAGCTTTAAAATCCTTTTTTTTTTTAAATTTAAATTTCATTCATTATTTACGAAGATATTGTATATACAACTTTAAACTAAAAAAAACTTTGCGAACTTCTTCAAAAATCCAATATAAGTTATAAAATTGTACATAGAGCACATTTTATTTATGCTTTAAATTATCAATAACTATTCTTTAAAAATATTTTATTTCTTGTTGAAGCATTTTCTCAAAATAATCATGATATTATTTAATGTATGTAATACTGTTATTTTTTGTATTTCTTATATTTATATATTATTAATTCATATTACTGATTGCTAAATATTCTATTTAACTTTTCCACATTTTTGATTGCATTCTTGTAGCTTATTTCGAGAGCTATTTAAAACACTTAATCTTTTTTCATTTATTACTTTTTGAATTTTAAGGCTTGAAAGTTACAATATTGCCAGCATTTAGCATTATCCTAAATGTCTAACAGACAGCTACAACCTCTTGAATGTTGTTCAGAGTCATGACTTTAATAATATTTGTCAAGGACAATTGTCATTGGAGATTGCATCTTTTATTTTCATTTTTGAACTGAAATTTATTTTTATGTAAAAATGAAAATAAGAGGTACAACCTCTTAGCCTTGATCTTGACAAAGTTATTCAGATCATAATCTTAAACAAAAGATTTTAGCCGTCAGTTGGACACCTAGGGATAATGCTAATCGGTACTGTAACTTTCAAGTCTTAAAATTTGGAAAGTAATTAATGAAAAAAAATATTTTACTATATAAAAAATATGGATCAATGGATCAGGCTATTGAGAGTCAAGCGTGATTCTTATTACGTAATTGTCTATTTATTCATAAAAATCTTGAACGTTTCGACTCGGAGTCATCTTCAGCATACATAATCTCTATATATCCTTGAACATTTGTTAAATGACGTTTCTTTGAAGTTTGAGATTGTACATCAGATCGGCTAATTTGATGGTGACTTTATCTCCAACTTTTAAGGATATATAGAGATTATGTATGCTGAAGATGACTCCAAAGTGAGTCGAAACGTTCAAGATTTTTATGAATAAATAGACAATTACGTAATAAGAACCACGTTTGACTCTCAATAGCCTGATCCACTGATCCATATTTTTTGTTTTTGGAAAATAAGAGAGTTTGCAAGAAGATTTTATACTTGGATTTATTTTACTATATACTAGCTGCGTTCGACAATGCAAATCTGAGGCGTCGCGCGTCGGAATGCTCTTTTTCTATAGTGCACGTGATATACTATATGCTATAATATAAGAGCACTCCGACACCTCAGATTTGCTATTACCGAACGCAGCTAATATATTAATATGTTGGAAAGCTTTAGGGATAAGCTATAAGAATATGCAATAAAAATTAGGGGGTTTTGTTTAAAAAAATTTGAGTGACCTTCCTCTGACCTTTCTCTGACCAACGCCACTCAAGATCAAATCAATGGTACCATCTTATGTCCCCCTTGAAGTCATACAACTTTTGTCTAAAACATTTTTTTCTAAAATACACTATTTGAGCTACATTTGAAGGGGTCAATTAAATTGGAACACCCTGTATATGTATACAGAAGCTCGCATATTAAAGGTTAAATAAAATTTTTAGTATCTATTGTTAAAGATAAACTCATGCTACTCTACAAAGATCGATCGTGTGAAAGCAATATTAGGCAAGATTGATTGATCAATGTCCTTTATACATGTAAATCCATTTCAATAAACCTTAAATGTAGACAACGAATGCGACAAACAGTCGCTTTCTCATGTCGTGACTTTATTATCGATTGGTCTCATGAATTATAGTCGCACACCTCTCTCTTAAGCTAATTCCGTGCTTCGTACTTCGTGTCTGACCATGCATCGACTCACATCACTTGCATTAACACTTTTCTATTAGCGCATAGTATGAAACTATTTCAGCCTAGAAGAAAAATATTGTTCTATGTGACTGCATACACAAATATGAAATGATAAATATGAATACAGTGTATTCATTTTATTGTTGTTACGCAGTTAATACAGCAATTAGTTTCAACGAAAGTATTTTGAGCCATGTTATTTCATTATCTGAAGAAATGTTAATATGTAAAGAGGGATGTATTAAGTATCCGGATATGTTATTCATGTAACAATAAAAATGTCTACAATGCAGTATGTATTGACGATTTTACACAAAGTGTGTTTGCTGCGCTATCGATGCATGAATAATACTCAATGATCACATTTATCTCCGTCATCGAGGGATGATCGATTCTTTACACCGGGTGTTTCGATCGATGATGAATAACGCATTTATTGATGGTATCTCCTGTCTACAACCATGATGGTATATAATCGTATTTTATCTCAAAAATAAAAAAAGACCGAATAAATAAATCTGAAATGCGTGTTGAAATAAAAGACAGCCAAGAGATAAAAAAGAAATAATAAACGGAAAAAAATTACTATTATTATTATTATTATTAAAAAGAAATTTTATACAATGATAAAAAAGAATAAAAAGACATAATATAAAAATAAAGATTTTGCATTATAAAACAAAAATTTTTGACAAATTAATATATATGTAATTTTTTAAAAAAACTGAAATTATATAAAAAATTACTTTTATATTTGTACATATAATATATCTGTTGTAAAGGTTACTAGCAAAAAGTTCATAGAGAGAGAAGAGATCAATCTATATTTCTCTATACATTTTCTAAAACATGAGAAAACAATTAGAGGATACACCTCTCTCTTTTTTGTAAATGATTAATTATATTTTAACCACAGCAGAAAAGTTAAAAGATTTTTATTAGAAAAATATGTTACTGCTTAATCGTTTCCATTACTTTCCAGGAAACATCCTTTCGTAAGCGGATATAAATTTGTTTGCCTTGGCTTTCACTTGGTGTTCTAATGTTACTCCATAAAAGCTTCTTATAGTTCATATCTCGACTAAAGCTCTGGGAGTTAGCTTTCTGTATTGGCAAATTCAATTTCACTTGACTTTTGCTTGATTCAGAATCGATATATCCTTTGTTATCTCCCGTAATACTCTCCTTAAATTCCGTGAAAGATATTTTATTATATCAATCGCTACTATATTATCAACATGATTTAAAGATTAAATACAACAATGACAGCAATAATATTCGATATATTTGTAAACAATTTTTAATACTTTATCAGATAAGTGGAAAATAATACACGAGATGATCTGAAACATGAAGCAAAATAATAAACATAATTTCTACAATATCAGTTAGTTATATAATAATTAATAACAATAAAATAATAATATTATATGTATTACATTCAAAATCACAACTATCATATTTACAACACATTGTCAACGCTTGTAAAATACAATAACAATCCATTGTTGAGGTACGGTTTTATCATCGTACAGTATTTCCAACAAAACGAATCTGCTTATCTACTTTTTTGTGTTTTTATAACCTACGTTTTACTTTTACAAAAAAATTTCAGATGGAGATTGGTTTAATTGATTTTAATTTTAATAAACGATAATTAAAAAAGATAATCAAAAAGTCAATCAAAATTGCTGTAAATTTGTTTTTCAAAGCCACGTTTGCGTTGTCGGATTTGAACCTCATTCGAATAAATGAATATAATTTAATAGTAGAAAGGTGAACAAGAAATTAAAATGGGGATCATTTCTGACTCAGACATGGATAAGATCAATAAACGATCGATGAACGCCAGATGCAATCGGGATGCAATTTATTACGCTCAAAATATGTTTTTGTTTGAAAAAAGCGGCACGTTAAATTTGAGGTGAAGGAAATGTAATTTGCCTCTCAGGAATAATTCTGTATTTTGTTTTCTAACGTAATTTTGCTCAGTTAGCATTATATCTCAATATTGCTTCCTTTGCTTGAATACAGAAGCGTGTTGCGGTGCATTTTAAGTGAATTGCATTCTGTCACAATGTGAAATTAGCTCAAAAATATACATATACAATACCATATTCTTCATGCTTACTTGAAAATACAAGTATATTGTTAACCTTATGTGCTAATTTCACATCAAGTTTAAGATACATATATGTTTTAAACTTTAGGATATATTCTAAATTTTTGCATAAAATTTGTAAAAAAATATTAATCTGAGTTTTGAAACTTATTTATTTACTTCATTTACTTTTATTTATTAGTAGGTAAATTTAAAAATTCGTTCTAGTTTT